TTTTCTTGGCAAGACTTGGCAGCAAGTGCTGCCCTGGAAAAAGGGCATCCTGAGTTACCATGAACTGGTGCCACCTTTTCACTCTCCTGGCCCTACACAGTTTTGATTAGCTAAGGGCAATTAAGCTTTAACCACAGGGGCTCATTAGCAGCCTTGGGCACTGCTGGCTTGACGGGAATGCCTGCACCGGGATGGTGCTTCAAGTTGCCACCCCGTTCTGCTGGCCATAGTGCCCCACCCACCTACCTTCTGTGCAAAGTATCACTTAATATACAGGCAGCTCTACTTGCCAGGCCTCTGCTGTGGGCCAGGCACTGTTATCCCCATTTTACAGATAAGGAAGCTAAAGTGGAGGGACTATGAGGAAGTGCCTTGCACAAATGTCATGGAGATAATGAGTGGCCCAGAGAGTCTGACTCCAGAGTCTGTAGCTGGGGTCACTATAAGACTTTTATTTTAATTTTATTTTTGAGACAGGGTCTCTCTGTTGCCCAGGTTGGAATACAGTGGCAGGATCTGGGCTCACTGCAACCTCTGCTTCCTGGGCTCAAGCCATCCTCCCACCTCAGCCTCCCAAATAGCTGGCACTTGGCCGGGCACGGTGGCTCAAGCCTGTAATCCCAGCACTTTGGGAGGCCAAGACGGGTGGATCATGAGGTCAGGAGATCGAGACCATCCTGGCTAATACGGTGAAACCCCGTCTCTACTAAAAAACACAAAAAACTAGCCAGGTGAGGTGGTGGGCGCCTGTAGTCCCAGCTGCTCGGGAGGCTGAGGCAGGAGAATGGCGTAAACCCGGGAGGCGGAGCTTGCAGTGAGCTGAGATCTGGCCACTGCACTCCAGTCTGGGAGACAGAGCGAGACTCCGTCTCAAAACAAAACAAAACAAAACAAAACAAAACAACTGGCACTACAGGTGCCTGCCACCATGCCCAACTAATTTTCGTATTTTTTGTAGAGACGGGGTTTTGCCTTGTGGCCCAGGCTGGTCTCAAACTCTAGGATTACAGGCGTGTGCCCAGCCTCATTATTTTAAATTAAGCAAAATACCTTGACTTTTTTCAGATGTTACTTAAGTTTGCAATAACATCATAAAAGTATTTTCCCATTTTACACGTTATAAGAAAACTTAAAAATCCTTTTCCTAACTCTAAAACAAAGCCTCACATGCCCTTGGATGCGTAACAACCCATTCTAAAAAGCACTCATGCATCTTGGTGTGGAAACGGATCATGAGAACTCTGGAGACCTGGCACTTAAGTAGTTAAGGAAATGACAGTTTCAACAGATTTCTGCAAAGCTCCTTTATGGATAGCCCAGCAGGTGTTTCTTCCATTAAAACACAGAATATTAATGGAGCCCTTGATTTACATTCTAAGCCTGATTTACACAATGGTTTTGTTATGCACCAGTCTTTGTCCCCAAGTATTAATTCTGCTAAATATTTCCCAGGCAAGTCGCTGCTAGATCTCCCCAAGGAATGAGCAATGATAATACAGCCTGTACCTGCTATTTTGCCAGCATCCCATTTCATCAATTTATGGCAAGAGGTAAAATTGGCAAGTTCAGAAATGAGACAGCAGGGCACACAGTTTGAGTATTTCTGTCTTTTCTCTAAGGAGATGCAGCTATTCTGCAGGTGCCTCCTAATTCTTGTCCGTGGCATTTCCCAGGAAAGTTGTCAAGCATCTTATTAAGAAAACAAGATCCAGGTCTTGAGATAACAAAGTTAACAGCAGAACCTGAGCTCCCAGTGGGGAGATTTCCTAAGTCGTCTGGTGTAAGGAAAGTGTCTCTGAGTGCAGACCAAGGGGCAATTAAGCATTTCATGTAAGTGAGCTTGGTCAACCCCCAAACCACCTATAAGGTGGGTACCATTAGCACGAGTATCCTACCGATGGAGAATCTGAGACACACATAGGGCAAGTAATTTGTCTGAGGTCACATCCCCAGTAAGTGAATCTAGGATTATGTCTCTTCAAGGCTCTGATCTTTTCGCCAAATCACACTGCCTCTGGCTACTAGAAGAAACACTGGCTTCCTGATTAGGACACAGGTTTCATTCAGCCTGACCTTGGGCAAATTGGTGTCCTACCTGTATTTCTCTCCTTCTTGTAAAATAAAGAGAATGGGCACCTGTTTCAAGCAGCTCAAAGGCTGATCCAGCCAGTCTTCTCTTCACTCAGCAGGACCAATCAGAGAGGAGGGGCACCTGTCCTGTCCTCAGGTGTCTTGCGAGTCAGATGACATGTGGCAGGTTCATTCCTGCTCCAGGCCCACTTCCCAGCTGAGAGCCAAGGCCAGCTTCAAGTTTACCTAAACTCTAAAGCTCGAGGATTCTATATCATCCTCAAGTCAGTCCAGGCCTTGCACATTAATCAAAAGTAAAATTCACTGGCTCTCTATTCCTGGAATCTGGTTTTTAAAAGTGCTTACATTAGGCTAACCTCCCATAAACAAACAAGCTTATGGGGCATACATTTAAAGTTAAAAAATTATTTAGCCAAAAAATAAAAATAAAATTTTTTTAGCCAAAGTGACACACTACTTGGGAGGCTGAATTGGGAGGATGCTTAAGCCCAGCCTGAACAACATAGCAAGAATCCTGCTTCTCTTTTTTTTATTTTTTGAGACAGGGTCTGGCTCTGTCACCCAGGCTGGAGTGTAGTGGTGCCATCTCAGCTTACTGCAACCTCCACCTCCTGGGCTCAAGTCATCCTCCCATCTCAGCCTCCCAAGTAGCTGGGACTACAGGCGTGCGCCACCATGCCCGGGTAATGTTGTCCAGGCTGGTCTTGAACTCTTGGGCTCAAGTGATCCGCCGGCCTCAGCCGCCCAAAGTGCTGGGATAGCAGGCTTGAGCCACTGCTCCCATGCAAAAACCCTGTCTCTTAAAAAAAAAAAATTTAAAGCAACCATTTGCATGAATCCTAATTTCTCACATACTTTAGGCTAACTTGGTTAGAGAGATATACATAATTTAGTTTTATTTATTGAAATCACTTTTGCAGAGGCCAAGCAGTGTAGTGAGAAGGACAATTTTTGGCCAGTGCCTACAATCTAGCTGTTATAACAGCTGTGCATCCTCGGGTAAGTTGCTGAAATAGATCCTCATGCTTCCCCATCTGTAAAATGAGATAACAGCATCTGCCTTGCACAATTGTGAAATCTGAAAATGGTATATAAAAGTGCCTAAGAGTGGCCAGTTGCAGTGGCTCACATCTGTAATCCCAGCACTTTGGGAGGCCGAGGCAGGAGGACTGCTTGAAGCCAGGAGTTGGAGACAAACATGGGCAATAAAGTGAGAGCTTGTCTCTTAAAAAAAAAAAAAAAAAAAAAATTAGCCACTGTGGGTGGTGCACACCTGTAGTCCCAACCTACTCAGGAGGCTGAGGCAGGATCGCTTGAGCCCAGGAGTTCGAAACCTGTTGCCTGAGCAACATAGTGAGGCCCCATCTCTAAAAAATAAAAATAAATTAAAAAATTTAAAAAGTGCCTCACACCACAGTGGCATATGGCAGTTCCTCCATAAATAAATGGCCAGCCCATTAAAAGCAGAGTGAGCACATCAGTCTGATAATGAACAACTGAAATTACTAAAAGAAACGCCCAGGTACAAAGTGGACCCAGAGGAGGCAGCGCTTGCACCAGGAGCTCTCAATTCACTTTGATTGCACATTACCATCAGCTGGGAAGCTTTAAACTTCCCAGTGCCCAGGCCATACCCTACATGTAACCAGATCCTCTGGATGGGACCCAGGTGATTCCAATGTGCAAGGGTAAGATCCTCTGCCTTGTCATCTAGCCTTACCAGGTTTGCTCTCAGAATGCACGTCTCCTAGCCTGAAAATCTGAGGTATTCCAAAGGAATCCTGGGCCCGGAGCTCCAATGGCAGGACTGGGAGCTGGTAGGGCTTGGCTACACATTCATTAGACCACTTGATGCTGGCCAGGCATGGTGGCTCAAGCCTGTAATCCCACCACTTTGGGAGGCCAAGGCAGGCAGATCACCTGAGGTCGGGAGTTTGAGACTAACCCAACATGGAGAAACCCTGTCTCTACTAAAAATACAAAATTACTCAGGTGTGGTGGCGCATGCCTGTAAGGCTGAGGCAGGAGAATCGCTTGAACCTGGGAGGTGGAGGTTGTGGTGAGCCGAGATCGCGCCATTACACTCCGGCCTGGGCAACAAGAGCGAAATTCCGTCTCAAAAAACAAAAAAAACAAAAACAAAAACAAGAAACCTGATGCTGTGTGCTTGGAGGCAGGCAGGGTTCCTCTACCAGTAACCAGCTGCCCGGAGGCTGTTTAGCAGGTGGAAAAACTGGTCAAAACAACTGCAGTGCACTGGGAATTAGCTCAGGGGCCTGGCCTCAGGGAGCTCACCATCAACAAGAGGCAGGACCACTGTACAATGAGCTGTGTATACACAAAACAAGAAGGGATGTGATCTGTGCGATGGGAGGCAGGAGAACCACTATTCAGAGCTGCCAGGCAGCTTTTTAGGAGGTGCTGGCTTTGAGCTTGGTCTTGATAGATTCTTGTCAGATGTGGACATGTAGAGAGCCTAGGGGGCCAAGGATGGAAAATTGGTTATGTTCCTTATCTAGGATGCAGGAGCAATGAAAGTAGTTGGCATTGCTAGGGTAGTTCAAGCCTGCTCCATTTTCCATAGAATTCAGGCAGAGAGTAGCTTTTTCTTTTTTCTTTAAACCAGCTTCTACATTAAGGACACAAGAGACCAGCTTTTAATATTCACCCCATTGTGGCTCTAGGATCCAACTCTGCACCTAGGATAAGATCACCATGCCAGTTGAAGCCTGCTGCCCCGATACTTGAGGGAAGAAATGGTTTAAACCACATTTTCCTAACCACCTGATTTTTTATGTGGGGGGTGGGGTGTGTGGGAACAGTCAAAAAGGAAAGAAAAGGAGTAGGAAGCTGTTGCACTGTTAAAATGGCAGATGTTATCATTGTTTCAAATTAATGTGCAAGACTCATTCCAGTAGTTTGACTTTATTCAATCCATAGAACGTGATCTCAGTGGTTAAGCCATCTTAATAGGGCCAGGTCTCTTGAGGTAGTTTTTGGGCCATCTGTTAATTACATCGACTTTCCAGGAAACAGACTATGGAGAATGAGAGGAATCAGACTGCCTGTCACAAACCTCTCGTGGAACCCTCTAGTGACACCTATAAGGACATTACAGATCTAGTTCCAGACTTCATAGATCTAGTTCCATTATCTCAAGTTACAGATGGGGAAACTGAGGCCCCAGCAGGGGGCGGGGATGTATCTAAGTCACTAGTGAGTTGGTGGCAGTCAGGTCTCTTGATTCTTTTCCCCATACTCTCAGCCCAACTTCTCAGTGGAGGGGCACTGGCAGGCCTGCTCTCTGGACAGAATGTAGCAAAAGGCCCGTGGTCAAACTGATATGGGGTGGGGAAGGTTGGGGGGCCCTCAGCCATCAGCCATTCTCATCCTACACGTGAAAAACTCAGCTGAGAGAAGGGAAGTGACTTACCCCCTCAGGGTAAGACCCAAGACTGGAGCTTGGCTCTCTTGCCTCTCAGCCTTCTAGTAGAAGTTTCCACAATGGAATACAAAAGGAAAGGTATTTGGCGGCATGGCCAGTCTGGAGAAAAGGATCAAGTTAATGACTTTAAATACAAATAATCTGAACACATGACTGGAAAATTGGTTTCCCTAACGTGATCTCACCCTCCATGAGCTGTGCTGTTTCTGGAGAGAACAGTCCAGGAAAGGGGTGTAGGAAAAGGCAGCGTTAGAATGAACACCAAGGCTGCAAGATGGGGGCAGGGGTGGGCTGGGGGCATTTAGATGGTCTGCACTTGGGTCAATAAATCCATGACTCCATCTTTGGTGAGGAAGACCACCTCACCAGTGTTCTGACACCAAACCTCAAAATGTGCAGGGTCCTCCAGGGCCCTCTTGCCAGCAATGATCACAAAGGGGTAGCCAAACTTGTTGGCATCTTTCAGTCTGTTTCCGATGGTCAGATGGGTCCTGTCGTCCAGCAGCACCTCCCCGTGAAGCTGAGGCACTGCCTCTGTGATGTGGTCGCACAGCTGCCCTATGAGCTCAGAGGCCGCCTCCTCCTTACTGCCCTTCTTAGGGGGGATGAGGCAGGCTTGGTAAGGGGCCAGTAGGCTGGGCCAGCGGACACAGTCTTCTGTAGAGAGGACTTCAATGGCAGCAGCCAAGATCCGTGTCACACCCAAGCCATAGCACCCCATTTCAGCCAGGGATGGTTTGCCATAGACGTTGGTAAACTGGGCATTGAAAATGGATGAGTACTTGGTACCCAGGTAAAATGTGTGCCCCACCTCAATGCCTTTGGTTTCGGTCAGTGGGCCCTGGCAAGCAGGGCAGTTCATCTGTGACAAGTCTAGTGTCTCCAAGTTGGCTGAGAAGCTGCAGTGGGGACAGATGGCAAGCCGGTCCTCTCCAACATCCACAGGGAGCTGGAACTCATGAGACATCGTGCCTCCGATGCTGCCGACATCAGCCTGGACCTTGACAAATCGCAGCCCTAGCCTGTTGAACAGGCTGCAATAGGCATCACACACCAGGTTGTAGGTCTGCTGGGCGGCCTCCGGGGAGGAGTCAAAGGTGTACATATCCTTCATGTAAAACTCTCGGCCACGGAGAAGACCAAAGCGGGGCCTGGGCTCATCCCGAAACTTCCTTGTCACTTGGTACAGCAGGAAGGGAAGCTGCTTGTAGGACAGTTTCTTCTGCGCGGCAATTAAGGCTGTAATGGCTTCCTCGTGAGTTGGTCCTAAGCAGTATTCCTTGCCATGCCTGTCTCTAAGTCTTAGCAGCTCCTTGCCCATCAAGTCCCACCGGTTGGTGGCTTGCCAGAGCTCTGCCGGGCTGAGGGTGGGCATGTTGACTTTCTGGCCCCCGATGGCCTGCATCTCCTGGTCTATCACTCGCACGAGCTTCTCCATGGCACGGACGGTGTACGGCAGGAGGTGATAACAGCCGGGGCTTGCTGGGTAGATCAGGCCCACCTGCAGCATCAACCGCTGGCTCTTGCAGTCACCAAATTTGTCCTGCAGGGAGAGCACCTGGTCTTCCCGAAGGTTCTGTGGCTGGAACACACGAGACAGCAGCAGGCGCCGCCCTCCTCTTGGGGCACAGTGGTGAAACCTGCGAGGAACATACCCAGAGAGCTGGCGGCTGCAGGTGGCCAGGGCGGGCAATGCTCTGCATCTTGTCAGCAGCCCTTCCATGACACCCTGGCACCGGGAAGCACGGGCACCTGGAGAAAAATGAGTTGTGTGAGAATGAGCATCGCCCGTGTTCCAACACCACGAAGCAGCCAACCCAGTCTGCTCTCAACAAACTTCGAAGACGGCCACTGATTTTGCAGATACAAATCCTTCCATTTCTAATATCCTAGCAGATCAAAGCACTATTTCTCTAACCTCTTACTTCTGTTTTTGAAAAATCAATATTTTCCTTATTATAAAAACATTAACAACATCCTGTGGAGAGACAGCGTTGTGTAGTGACTGCACAGGCTCTGGAATCAGGAAGCCTAGATTCCAGTCAGGCCTCCCACGGGCTGCACCCTGTGTAGCTGGCGACATGTGTCTTAACCCCTCTGTGCTATTTCTTCATCTGTAAATAGTAATAACAACAGGACCTACCTTCTAGGCTTACTGTGGACACAGAAGAGTTATAAAAAGTTCTTGGAACAGCATCTGGCATGTACTATGAGCTCAACTAATGTCTGCTATTATTATTATAGAAAACTGGGGGGGGGGGGGAAATCTGAAAACAAATGGGCACGCTGGCTTACGCCTGTAATTCCAGCACTTTGGGAGGCCGAGACGGGTGGATCACCTGAGGTCTGGAGTTCGAGACCAGCCTGACCAACATGGTGAAACCCTGTCTACTAAAAATACAAAAATTAGCTGGGCACACGCCTGTAATCCCAGCTACTTGGGAGGCTGAGGCAGGAGATTCGCTTGAACCTGGAGGTGGAGGTTGCAGTGAGCTGAGACTATGCCACTGCATTCCAGCCTGGGAAACACAATGAGACTCTGTCTCAAAGGAAAAAAAAAGAAAGTAAAGAAAACTGTAATCCCTCAGCCCGGAGTCAACTGCAGCTGACGTTTTGTGGCGATCTGTCTCTTGCAAACCCTGTCCTTTGCACATCCCTCTCTTGTCCCTCTACCTGCCCCAACATTTAAATGTCATGGGCCTCTTCCCTCTTCACAGCACATACTCCCTGGACAGCCCGCATGCTGAGGGCTGACTCAAAATCTCCACCTGCCTCCCAGAGAATACATCAGGCAGGTACTTCAAACCCCGTGTCCCAGAATGAACTCAGCATTCTCCCCTCAAACCCACTCCCCCTCCAGCACTGCCTGTCATTGTGAATGGCACCAAAAGTTGCACTTTGCCCAAACCAGAATGTGGGGTTCACCTGCTCTGCCCCTCTCTGTGTCCCACATTCACAGCCCTCTTGGCCCTGTCATTCCTACCTCTTCCTTTGCTGTTCAGTCTGTCCCTCTTCTCTCCACAGCCTCCACCCAGGTCCAGGCCACCCTCATCTCTCACCTGGACGGTTGCAATAGCCTCCCCACTGGTCTCCTGGCTTCCATTCCTGCCCTCCTTCAATCCATCCTCTATACTGCAGCCACAGGGGAGACTTCCCAAGCACAGATGCTAACAGCTTTTCTTGGTTAAAATGGCCTCCTGCTACCCTTAGAATAAGGTCTAAGCTTCTGACCTTCAGGGTGTGCACAGCCCCACATGGGCTGACCCCCTTGGACCTCATCTCACCACGCCCCCCTCTTTTTTTGAGATGGAGTCTCGCTCTGTCACCCAGGCTGGAGTGCAGTGGCGCGATCTCCGCTCACTGCAAGCTCCGCCTCCCATGTTCACGCCATTCTCCGGCCTCAGCCTCCCGAGTAGCTGGGACCACAGGCACCGGCCACCACGTCCGGCTAATTTTTTTGTATTTTTAGTAGAGACAGGGTTTCACCGTGTTAGCCAGGATGGTCTAGATCTCCTGACCTCGTGATCCGCCTGCCTTGGCCTCCTGGAGCGCTGGGATTACAGGCATGAGCCACTGCACCCTACCCCATGCCCATTCTTAAACATACTGTCCCTTTTGCACAGAACACCCCTCTCCCCTTTTCCTGCCAACATCTAGTCATCCTCCAGGCCTCAGGATAACCATCCTCTCCCCAGGAAGCCTTTCTTGTCCCACTCCCCATACCCCCAAAGGGCTGGCTTTTCCCGCACAGCCCACTTGTCTCCTAGGGTTCCTGCCCATTTGGCTGCCTCTCTTCTCCCAGACACTTGGCTCAGTGCAATCAAGGACCTGTCTAGCTTGCTCACCACTGTATCTTCAGCACATGACAGGGGCCTACTAGACATTGTCCAATAGGCAAGTATGTTTCTCTGATTTCACAAAATAATCACACATTTCTAATGGCAGTACAACATTCCATTGATTGACCACATCAAAAACCAGTAGTTGGTTTTCTCTGTTATACATAATCTACAATGAAGAGAAGGCTTTTTTTGTCATATATTTGGGAGAGACATTGAAGAATGGAATTACTGAATCAAAGGCTATAAATTATTTTGAGATTTTTTATTTGTATTGCCAAATTTAGTGAGTACCTCTACTTTTCAGCACAGTCCATGCAGCAAAGCTGCCGGCAGTACGCTGGGAATGGGTTACTGATTCCCCTCAGCTCTAGGGAGCTGGGATCTCCCAGCTGGTTACCTCTAGCAGCCTCAGGTCCTCCAGCTGGTTCTCTCCAATCTCAAGCAGCCTCATCCATTTCCCCTGTGCACTGTGCAAATGTTTAAAGGTGGTGAGGCACTGCCACAGAGCCCTAGTGTGGTGCTGTAGGAACGTTCAGGCCATGGAGGCAAGGCACATGTGGATTCACCCCTGGCTCCATCACTTCCTTGTGATCCCACCTTACTTAGGCCAGTGGCTCCAGCCAGAAACTCATCCTTGATTCCTCCTAAAGCAAATGAGTCTGTCTCCAAGGTTTCCCTTAAGTCCACCCCCTCCTTTCTGGCCCTTACTGCCTCAACATTGGGTTAGCCCCTCAAAACCACTTGCTACATGACAGTTGCCCAGTGGTTCTGAAATTGAATCAAGCATCAGAATCACTGGAGGGCTTTTTTTTTTTTTTTTTTTTTTGAGACAGAGCTCACTCTATGACCCAGGCTGGAGTGCAGTGGTACAATCTCAGATCACTGCAAACTCCGTACCCCCAGGCTCAAGCGATTCTCTTGCTTCTGCCTCCTGAGTAGCTGGGATTACAGGCATGCGCCACCATGCCCAGCTACTTTTCATATTTTTAGTAGAAACAGAGTTTCACCATGTTGGCCAGGCTGGTCTCAAAACTCCTTGACCTCAAGTGATCGGCCTGCCTCGGCCTCCCAAAGTGCTGGGATTACAGGCGTGAGCCACCATGCCCGGCTGGGCTTGTTAAAACAGTGATTGCAGAGGCCCATCTCCAGAGCTTCTGATTTAGTAAGTTTGGGGTGTGGGCCGAGAACCTGAATTTCTAACAAGTTCCCGGTGACACTGATGCTGCTGGTCCAGGGACCTCAGTGGGAGAACCACTGCAGGGGTCTAGCTGTGTACCACGGATGACTAACCTCACAAACTCCATGAGGATGACAGCTATGTCTATTTTATTCCAAGTTTTATCTGCGGCATTCAGCACAGTACCTGGACAAAGTGGACACTCAATACATGTTTTTTTTCTTTCTTTCTTAAAAAATAGAGATGGAGTCTTGCTATGTTGCCCAGGCTGGTCTTGAACTCCTGGCCTCATGCTATCCACCTGCCTAAGCTTCCCAAATTGCTGGGATTACAGGCGTGAGCCACTGTGCCCAGGCTCAATACACGTTCTATCAATGCATGAACTGAGTACTTATTGAAGCCCGTCAGTCCAGTCTCCGTATTAGTCTCCAGCTAAAAAGACAGCTGACCCAACCACTCCCATTTACAATCCATTAACGGCTGGTTTTCATGATTTTCTCAGAATGGCACCAAAGCTCTTCATATTTTGATCCCAACACACCTCTTCCAGCTTCTTATCCTAGCATTCCCCAAGTTGCTCATCATTCTTGAAACAGACTGACATCCCCAAAACCCCCAGCAATTCCAACTCGAATTCAAGGTTCACTTATTCTAAGAAACTTTCTCCAACCCCTCTAAACAGAGAAAGTCACCTCCTCTGTGCTCCACTGCACACACCTCTTTTTAGTATACTGTACTAGAATCATGTCCAAAAGTATTTTTGAGGAACTATTGTGTGCCAGGCATTGGAAGCAAATGATGTTTCACATAAATTTTTTTTCTTTCTTTCTGGGGGTGTGTACAGGGGCCAGGAGGGGAGGTCAGTGTCGATGTTTAACATTCTATTCCTTGATAAAATTACAAGTTCATGAAGTTTTATACATCTTTAAATTTCAGAGTCTAGCATAATGCCTACTATTTATTACTATTTGTTGATCAACATATTGATAAATTAAGAGCAAAGTAAAGGGGTGCAATGATATAATTATCTGGATAATTTAAACGAGAGCTTTGAGCCCTCCTCCTCCACGTTCAGCATGTCTGTCCTCAGACCCCTCAGCTTATACAAACAGGAGAATAAGTAGAATTATCTCAATTTTTCAGTTATCTACAGGGAATATCTAGAAAGCAATATAGTAACTAACGTATGCAACACTTTAGGCTCCGGCAAACAGCCTCTGAGTCATTCAGTCGATTTTTTTGAGTACATACTCTGTGCGGGACACTGTCAGCCCTTCCAGCCCAGGCCTTTTCAAAGATTCTTTGACTCACTATTTCCTCCTAATCTAATCTGAAAAGTTGTACATAAAGCGTTTACAACGGTACCTGATACATAATATTAAGTGCCACAAAGTGCTATTATTATTATTATTATGATGCCCAACTCAGAAAAAGGAGGCTCTGAGATATAAAGTCATTTGTGTCAAGCCACACAGCAAATAAGCGCAGGGTCTGACCTGGAAGGCAAGGTCCCCGCCTCCAAATCCTAGTTTCCATCACGAACTGTGCTACATTAAACAGCAACGGAACCCTAGGCCTAGTTCTAAGAACCGGCTCGGCCTTCACTCGCTCGGTGTCCCTGGTCCAATCACTTCGCTCCGGACCTCCGTTTTCTCCAACACAAAACGGGAAGGCTGGCTCGGGCAGCAGGTGGTCCCAGGGCCTTTCCAGAGCTGGCACTTCGAGAACACCGTGTGACTCTCACGACGACCGAGGGACAGACCAGGAAGTGCTGCCCTCATTTTACAACGGAGGACACGGAGACCAGGAGACGAAGAGTATCAAAAGTTTACGTGATTCTCAGCCCGCCCCAACTCAAGGACGGGATGCAAGTGGGAAAATGAACAGCAGGGTCCTAGGTCTCCGCGCCCAGACCGCGTGCCCGCTTCACATCGCTGCCCGCGCCCGTCCCTCAGGTCTGGCAGTCACCCACGTTCACCTACCGCAATCCCCAGCCCACGCCGCCCGCAAGACTGCCGCCGCGCCCGGGCCAGCGCGCTTGCGCCTCGAGCAAGCCCGCCCTTAAGCCCTGCCTCCTGCCCTTCTCCTCAATCGCAAAGCCGCGCTCAGGGGCGGGGCCGAGTGCAGGGGCGCTCTGGCCCCGCCCCACGCTAGACACGCGTGAGAGATTTTCCGGAAGTGTAGCCATAGAGCGAGAACCCGGCTTTCCTCAAGATCGTTGATTGGCCAGAACCAGCCAAGAGTAAATCACCGTTCCGGAAGTACTTTCTAGGAACTTGGGAAGTGTAACTCTATGATGATTTGAGCGTGATGTTCCCGCCCACTGCCAGGCCCCGCCCACTCCCCAATAGGCGCACCGCTGGCGACAGTGTAACCATGACGACACACCGGGCAACGTAGTTTCTAATCTATCCTATGATTTTTATGGGCTTTCCATTTAAATAATATAAAATTGTGAAACAGTTGGAGAAAGACTCCTTTATTACAGTGCCCAAGACAGTCTTTAAGACATGAAATCAAACTTCCATTCACCAAATATTTTTTGAGCAGCTACCACGTAGATGCCACTGTGGTAGACACTGGGGACAGTGAAGTGAACCAAACAGACAAAATTAGCTGCATTCAGTATAGCTTGTGTTCTAGAGAGGACACAGTCAATAAACGAATACAGTGAAATCTAAGCAGGGCAGGGAATGGGAGCAAAGAACTCAGCAACCAAGATAAACAGTATTTTAATACAAGCGTTTTTTTGTTTTGTTTTGTTTTTGTTTTTGTTTTTGTTTTTGTTTTTCTTTGAGACGGAGTCTCGCTCAGTTGCCCAGGCTGGAGTGTAGTGGCGTGATCTCGGCTCACTGCAAGCTCCGCCTCCCGGGTTCATGCCATTCTCCTGCCTCAGCCTCCCAAGTGGCTGGGACTACAGGCGCCCGCCACACCACGCCCAGCTAATTTTTTGCATTTTTAGTAGAGACGGGGTTTCACCGTGTTAACCAGGATGGTCTCGATCTCCTGACCTCGTGATCCACCCGCCTCGGCCTCCCAAAGTGCTGGGATTACAGGCGTGAGCCACCGCTCCCGGCTACAAGTGTTTTTTTTTAAAAACAAAATTAATGCAAAAAATCCATGGCAAACAAAATACCAAAATTTAAAAGAATCTGTCAGTCAGATGGTGCTAAAGGCTATAAAGAAAAAATTAACTAGGGAAGGAGAATGGAGTAGGGGGATTAAGTGTTTGCAATTTTTTTGTTGTTCTCTTGTTCTTTTGAGATGGAGTTCTGCTCTTGTCGCCAGGCTGGAGTGCAATGGCGTGATCTCGGCTCACCGCAATCTCCTTCTCCCGGGTTCAAGCAATTCTCCTGCCTCAACCTCCCGAGTAGCTGGGATTACAGGCTCCCACCACCACACCCAACTAATTTTTGTATTTTTAGTAGAGGCGAGGTTTACCATGTTGGCCAGGATGGTCTCGAACTCCTGACCTTGGGTGATCCACCCACCTCGGCCTCCCAAAGTGTTGGGATTACAGGTGTGAGCCACCACGCCTAACCAAGTGTTTGCAGTTTAAAATAGGAGGATCAGGAAAAGCCTCATCAAGTAGGTGGCATTTTAGCAAAGACCGGAAGAGGGTGAGAGACAGAGGCTTGCAGGGGAAGAATTTTCCAGACACAGGAAACAAGAAATGCAAATGTCCTGAAGTGGGAACTGCATGTTATATGACTCTACCTAATAACAACTACAGTTATTGAATGCCTAAAACGTACCAGACCCAATACAAGACACTGGTGATTCTGATACTGGCCCCAAGAAGCTCTCAGCTCGCCAGGATCTTCCAGGAACAACTCCGTGTGATCACTGGTGTGATAGGGGCTGAGCAAACCCCTGTGGGAGCGTGGGGAAGGAAGGCTTCACTGAAGAGGTGACCTTTCAGCTGGACCTGAAGGATGAATGGGGTCTACCTAGACAAGAATGGCAGTGGGAGTGGAGTGCAATGTTCAGGCAGAGGGACCAGGACATTCAAAGGCACAGCTCAGGAAATGATGAGCCAGTGTGAGGGAAGCATGGGGTGTGGTGTGGTTTACATCTTTATTCTCCCAGCTCCTCACACAGAATTTGGCACACAGGCCAGAGCAGTGATTCTCAACCTTGACTGCATTAGAGTCAGTATATGCATCCACTCCCAACCCCTGTGCCGAGATGCAGGTTGTGAATCCGGGGTGGGCCCAGACATTATTATTTTATAGTTCCCTGGGAAATTCTAACGTGCAGCCGGGGTTAGATCTGCAGGCCTAGAGAAAAGGCATTGGACGACCTGGTGATGGAGGGGGCAGGGGGCAGATGCCATGTTATTATCCTGGTCTTACAGTTGAAGAAAACACAGCTCGGGTGGAGCACACGACTACATCTGCCCAGCAGCTAGGAGGCCAGGCAGGGCTGGGGTGGACCTGAGCTCTTTTGTCTCTAAGAGCCTTGCTCAGCCTCTACAGCCCAGTGCTGTGGTAGGGGCTTTCCCCAAGGAGTGCAGTCCCAGAGGTTTCACTGGGCTGATATTCCTCACTCCTCCTCTTTGGGGGTAAGGGGCAAATAAACTTCAGAATTTCTTGGATCTACATATCCAAAGTAGCCTTTAATTTCTCCCTGCTCCTGTGCACGTTATTACATTCCTTCCAATCCTGGAAAAGCCAGGCAGCTGTCCTCAGCACCCTGAGGTGTTAATTATTTCTCAATTAACAGTCCCCAGGCTGTAGAGCATAGTGGTGTGGAGAGGCCTAATGACTTGCCGTGTTTATACACCCCCACATCTTCAGAGCACTTTACCAATGGTAACTACTTAATGCTCACAACCCCCTTGGGAGGCAGGCCAAGAATGCTGCGTTTTACTGTGAGATTGCAGGAGGCTCTGCAGCTCCAGGCTGCAGAGTCCTGTCAAGACGGCCACGGAGTAGATTTGCTCCCCATTGAGAAAGTCCAGGGTGGTGGAGATCCCAAGGTCATGGAAACCCGGAATCTAGCCCTGTTGCTGCTAGCGACTTCCTGTGTGACATTTCAATCAATCAATTGATCAGAGTTTATTGAATGACTTGATTTACAGGGCTTATTCATGGTTAAAGCCCCATGACACACCACCCCATCCCCTGCAAAAAAAAAAAAAAAAACACACACACACACACACACACACACACACACACACATACAGAAAAAATCTATTCATTCTCTCATTTATTAATTGGTTATCAGAAAGAAATAAAGCAAGAGAAGGACTCCACACCTGCCTTGGTGCCCCACAGCTCTGGGGACACACCACACACTTAGCGATCTCCCCTGGCCAGATTAGGATCTGCTTGAGGGCAAGAACAGGTTTTGCTTTTTTCTCTATTCTCATCCCTGAGCAGAGGGCCTGGCCCAGTGCTGGGGCTCAGTGCAGGGTTTTGCTTTTCGGTTTATTTGTTGTTTTAATATAGCAATCAATAAATGAATGGATGACTTGTCTTCCCTCAGATCATGGGCTCCTCTGAGGACACACTGAATCGTCCTTGCATCCAGAGTCCCTTGCCTGGAATCGGGGCGCCTCCGAATGTGTGCTGAATAAGCAAATGAAGGCAGAGTTAATGATGAGCTCCCCAGCCTCATGAGTTCACGCCTCCTGGAGAGGCTGCCTCTGAAAGCGGTGACACAGCGCCCTATGGTAAGAAGCTGTGAGGAGGGAAGTGCTAGGTGCTGAGGGAACACACTGCAAATTGGGGGGTTGGGAAAGGATGTGACATTCAGCCATGAGGTGGGATCCGGGAGGGCTTCTCAGAGGAGGGCTACTTGGAATTGACCTTAAGGAATACATAGGAACTTCCCAAGCCAAAAATGGGATGGAAAGACATTCTGGTCAGAGAGGCAATAAATTGCTTCTGATAAGGAAGACGGCTAGAGATAGTTCTGGCTGGAGCACAGAGCACCCCCAGGTGTCATGGACACACAACTGGAGAGCCATCGGAAGCCAGGTGCAGCAGGGCCTGCTGGACCAAGCTCTGAGTTTATCTTCATCTTTGTGGCCATTGAAACCATTCTGATGAGGAACGATACTCCTCTCTGCCCCTCTCTTCCCTTCAACACGCACAAACTCCTGCTCTGAGCACAATCCCTGGACACTTTGAGTCCCACTCTGTAGCATGGACTTGTCGTAACTTGAAAGTATAATTGGCACCACAGGAAGGCAGCCTCCTCCTCTGCTGCATGCCCCTAGGCAGACACTGCTCATGTGAGAAGCAGGCCTGTGGGCAATAGAGGGTTCTACACCCGGAGAGGACTGGTCTGCTGTGTTTCTTTGTCTGAAGTGAGAGCTCATATTGGAGGAGGATGGCAAGAGAGGCCGGAAAGGAGACTCCTATAATAGCCCAGACTAGGGCAGTGGGTGGAAGGGGAGGAGGCCGATTCCAGAGATAACTGTCCAGAGGCAGTCCACCTGATGGACTCTGAGCCCACCCCTGCACCCTTAGTCCAGCTCAGCCCAGACAGGCTGGACTGTGAGGGTGGCTTTGCAGTCAGGAAGGCCTTGACTAGGAATCTGCCCAGGCTCTTCTCAGCTGCGTGACCTTGGTGAGTTACTTACTCATTTCTTTATCCATAAGACAGAAATCATAACAGCATCCCATGGGGGCGTTATGAAGGGACACTGAGCAATGTCATTGGAAGCATCCAGCCCATCCCTCAACACTAGTTTATTCACTTTCTCTCCCACGTTGACTCTGGGGACCTTATTGCTCCCTCATCCACTGTAAGGAAAGAACCCTTATCCTACTGCTGCTGCCTCTGGTTCTGAAGGACTCCTCACTTTTGCCACTGTGGAGGATGCAAATCTTTGGTCTTTGAGAGCCCTTTCTCCTCGGGCCCAGAGCACACCACTTGTTCATTTGTTCAGTGCCTAAGCCTAGAGGAGTGGAGGCCAGCAGGGATCAGGAAGGTGGGACTCCTGTTTTTATGAAGATTCCTCAGAATTAGAATGTGGCTACTACTATCATCACCATCCTCACCATCAGTAACATTTATGGAGCTCTTGCTATGTGCCAGGGACAATATTGACTACTTTATATCTAT